AAGGACCATGCAAAATATTTGTAAAAGGCAAGTCACCCAAACAGCACATCATGCTGGTATGTTTTATGGAACTCTTGTGAGACTATTTCCTCTCACTGACATCTTTCAATCCACAAATCACCTTGCAGTGAGTTGTGAATACTCTGGGTACAGTCTGCTCTGGAGTCAGCTTACAGTCAGGCCAAGATCATCCTCACAGGAGCTTTGGAGACAGTCTAAGCGTATTACAGTATTTTGTTTGAAATATTTTGGAATTTACTTGGAGACAAAAGGATATTTCTCATTTAATTTGTTGAAAAGGAGTTTGGGTTCACGCCGTTTGCATTTGATTGGCCTACTGAAAAAATACATAAGGAGATTTTGCCTTTTGAACAGTTTAAATGTTTTCTGTGCAATGTTGCTTAAAAAGCAACATTTTTGCGTGTGATGGCCACTGTCAAAAATGTTCAATATTCAATAACTAATCACTCGATCACACTTAAAAAGCAGTGTTGAAGTTTTTTTTCCCCCCTTTTCTTTCTAAAATAGTTTTATTTAGCGGATCAATATAGATCTTTCAGCTGAGTTTTACCTTTTTTATTTTGTAACTAAAAATAAAAATTCTTACAACCATAATAAAATCTCATATGGTTGCTATTAGTGATAATGTTATTATCTGTCATTCAAGTTAACTTTTAACCGACAGCCATATTAAATTAGGTTTACATGCAAAGGCATGAAAAATGTATACCACATTTAAAGCATAGTTTATGGTTTGAGAAATTTTCACACAATACTTTTAAGAGTCTTAAATTATTTTTGGATGTCCAATTTTTTTTTTCTATTGTAAAAGTTTGATGCCTTTTAATTCAACCCTAGCGATTTCAGCTCTTGTTGGTCAAAAGTTTGCATGAATGACAGAGGACAGAGGATTTTACATAAAAAAATATATTTTTATACTGTATAAATTTATACTAATCAGCTGAATAAAATACTTTAATGTTTAAAAGTTTGGGGTCATTGAGTTTTTTAATTGTTTTATTTTATTTAATACATTCAAAAATCCTTGAATTCAACAAGGATGCTTTAAATTGAATTCCGACCTCAAACTTCTGAATGGTAGTGTATGGTAAAAAAACAACAATTTATAATTGTATTTATTTATTTTTATTTTTTTCAGATGTCATAAAAAAACTTTTGAACTCAACTTCAATGGATGACTTAGACCACAGTGTGCTGATAGCAGAGCAGGACTGGGACTGTTTCTGTACAGACAGTGAGGAATGTTCTGTTCAGCAGGCCAAGCTTGCAGCCTTAGATGAGTCTGGCTTCAGTGACACTGACGATGACAAAACCTCTGTCCACGTGTCATCTCTTTCCAGCCAGACCAGCCCTGATCAACTCTGTGAAAAAGATAGTGTAGAAGTACAAAAACAACAACAAATAAGAGAATGTAAATTAGAACATACATCTGAGAACTCAGAGTTTACTGAATATCCTAACCCAAATGCAGAGCCACAGAATACCAGGTCCGCTGAGCAGATGTCCGATACTGGAGCAAATGAACCAGGGGCTACATGTGAATATCACAACAAAGCTAATGAAGACAGCAACCTGACTGAGAAGTTAAACTTAGAGAAATTAAGAGGAAATTACGAGAATCAGGAGAATGGTGAGAATCAATCAAGCCAAGCCACAACCAAGCCAGTCTCTGAAATCTCTATAGAAGATATAAAGCATGAAAAGAGAAAGGATGGTATAGAAACGTTAACTGAGGTGACGGACTGTTCACCAGTGGCCCAAAAAGAGAAGGAACGTTGGTTTGTGACTGTAAATGACAGCCCAGTCCGCCTGAGAGTAAAGGATCCCAACTCGGTCAAAAAAAAAAAAAGACGGAAAAAAAAAACTTCTAAAAACTTTAGACAGAATAGCGGAGTGATGGAGAAGTGTTCTTCCTTAAATAACAATACAGAACCAGATAAAGAAATTACTGAGAGACAAACAACGCAGCACAAATTTGAACAAGAACATTTTTCTTCTGACTCACCCAATATTCAAAATGTACTTCATATCCAAGATGTTAAATGTATTTCGCCCACTGGATCACCTGAGGATGAAGGGGGAAAAGCAAGCTGTCCTATTAGTCTAAAAAAGGAAAGCATGTCAGAAATGCCAGAAGCTAACTTAGAAAGAAATCCTGCCGACTCCCTAAATTCACAGACCATATTTAAAGATCTCAGTGGCCCTTTGCCACAGTACTGGGATCATGAAAGTGCTGTGTGTGATAAATATGATAAATCCATAGTAGATATTAATTGTGAATGTCAACATTAAACTGATAATTTAAGCCACTTTAATAATGACACAGGGGTGGAAAGTCCCAGATTTATTCTGGGTGCCTCTAAACCCTCTGCTCCTTCAGATAGTGAAGGAGAAAAAACAGAACAGCAAGAGCCCTCGGGACAGACTTATAATAGAGAAGAATCATCCCAATCATCCCAAGAGACACAATCCTCCGGTAACAGTGCCAAGACTTCAGGTCCAACTCGACCCATATTTGCCATTTCCTCCTTTTGGGATGAAATGGAAAAACTGACAATAAATGATATTTTGCAACTTAGAATAGCCAATAACAGGTCTCCACTGACAGAAAGCATCATTCCAGAAGAAAGCAGCCCTGTGGTCGCTGTCGATGCTCATCTTCCAGATAGGGGTGATGTGGAATCTAAAGATGATAGTTTAGAAGATGGCCTGGTAGACGACGTAGCAGATTCAGACTATTTCACACATTTGGATGACTCTAAACCAGACCGATCGAGCTGTGAATTCTCAGCTTACTCTGATTTCGATGATGAGTTTCTACAACTTCTTCATGCAAGTGCAAATCCTAGCCCTGAACCCCTTGAAGGCAAAGAGCAAACCCAACATTTTCTTGAGTCTGGCATAGATTCAGAAGAAACTTGGCCAAGTGAATCAAATGAGACGGTGAAGCTGTGTCCTGAGAGTGATCCCTCACTATATTTGTATTCAGAGACAGAAGCAGAAATGCAGGACGTATTTTTAACAGCTAAAGAAGACAACAACATGAATACCTTTCTATTGGACCACTGTAGCACAAGGAGATCAACGCCTTCACCAGTTTTATCGATTTCTGATATTCTAGACGATCAGTGTCTCTCTTTCTTCAAAATCTTGAGAAGTGACACCAAAGCAGAGCAATACCAAACTTGGATCCCAGAAAGTAACACTTCGCTTTGTTTTTCACAGAGCTTATCTGTGGCTGAGACTTATGATGACTTCTTCTCAGATTTTGAGGTTGGGAATTTTCTCTTTCCTTCAGCTCAAGTTTCAACAAAGAGCGAGAAAACATTGGTACCTATCTATTCCTCTTCTCATTCAGTGGTGAAAGACCTAGAATTTCCAGAGGTAGAAGAGGTGATACAGTCGAATTGTGAAGACGAGAACACCCCAGTCCGAGTTATGAGATGTACAAGCCCTTCTGAAACATCAAACATGTGCTTTATCACTAGCCGGAGAAGTACCTGGAGAAAACTTTCTCTGAGACACACCAAACTTCTAATGGGAAGGACCTGGTATAGGATGGCCACCTCTTGGGGTTTTCCCAAGACAGTTGACACAGTCTACAGTTATAGAACAAGAACATCATCAAGTTCTTCTATAGCTCAGCCAAAGCTTCCAGAGCGTTTCCTAGACAACCAGGCCCTTGGACAAATGACAGAACATCAGATACATGTTGGGGCAACTTTTGCAAAAGCAGGTACAATCTTAAGGGCATTTTTTAGATCAAATAGATATGAAAATGTCAAGTCTAACACTGCAAAATTCTGCTTACAGATAGAGATTGCTTCCCAGACATGTGCCTTGTTTGCATTGCTTTTGCGTCTTGGGTACTGAAGTCAAGCAACCCACAATCTAACGACATGTGGAAAGCAGGTAAGAACGCCATGTGGATGGTGTATTTCTGCAATAAGACACAATGATCAGGCTGTTACATATTAAATTAGGCAATTTATTCAGATAATATGAGCACACAAAATTAACATGATCGTTTTTCCCTCTATTATTTTTCAGCTCTTCTGGCAAATGTGAGTGCGATCTCTGCCATCCAGTACTTGCGGCGATATGTAAAAGAAGGATGAACCATAAAAATCTAATATTAGAGCTTTCTGAGGATTTCCCACAAGGGGCCAGTGTACAGGAAAGCGTTAATTTTGCACAAATTCACAACAAACACTTTAGTAAATACACATATTAGATTGTATTCCATATTTACTAACAGTCTAATATTTTCATGTTTAATATATTCATGTTACAAAATAGGTGTTCAATCAATAAATAACTTATCAAAGGACAATTTTGTTAAAAAAAAAAAAAGCATACAAAGCAAAGGAGAAAACATTCGGGGTTTTTTCCCGTACAAACACTTGTTCAGTTAGAAGACATATATTGCTTTAGATATGATGTTGATATGGACCAGAAATTACAACTGGTAAGTTTTGCGTCAATTATATTCAGGACTCAAGCTGTGCTATACATATTTATGTAACTAACAAGTAAACTGTTTTGCAGTGTACATATAAAAACATTTTCAATGATAATCACTCTAGATGCATCTATTAAATGCAAAAACATCATGCGGCCAAAGCTTTAAAAAAAAGTTAATATAGTTTTTCAGTGAAGAAACAGATTTGAGCACATTTCATGAAGAATATAAATTTGCACATAAAATATACTTGGAAGTTAAGGAGGTATCAGAAAGTGTCAGAAAAATATGACTGCTGCTGAGTGTCAAATATTTCTATCACACATAAGCAAAGATTGATGTCAGTGTATTAAGTGTATATGAAACAGCCTCAGAAAATGATGCTTACAAATAACAAATGAATTTATTACTAAAAGAAAATGTACTGATGAAAAAAATGAAAAGATCCTAGTTGACTGTGTTCATATGACATGTTAAAGGATGAGTAAAAATAATTAGAGCTGTTTGTAATCATGCATTCGTCATTGAAAGTTATGAAAAATTTCCAACTATAAGGTAATTGCAACCAGACAACACTGTGCATGTATACATAAAGACATGGATATTAAAAATGAGAATATATTTCCCATTAAATTTAAATGTTTAGTGCTAATTCAAAGAAAATAATGACTTTTTGGCAGTTTTGGAAAAAGTGACCCATCAAAGTTCCACAATAACGGCATTAACAGATAACACTCATCAACTGTCTGCTTCAACACATACAAAACAATGGCACTACATTTCATGATTTCTATTGTTATTTTAACAATTAATAGTAGTGCACAACAATACACTTGTATTGCATTAAACCATCACAAAATTACTCTTTCTCTCTCTATTGTGTTTATAATGAATTTCATCTTATTGTGAGAATGCTGTGTTCTTTCCCAACCAGCCTGCCTATGAAAATGTAACACTAAACAGTAGCCTGGTTGTTTAATTGGCCAAGTGCACATGCTAGGACTGAAGCTGGTATTGAGGATACCATTAAATATGCCATATGCATTTTATTGCTAACTGTAGGTACCGCTCCATAAATTAACTTCCTAAACTTCTGTGCCAAGTAGGGAGGACCCAGGAACTGACCTGCTCTATCAAATTGTGTCCTTAAGAATGGCGGTAAACACTGCAAGCAGGTGACTGTTGGCCTGATCAGTCTTCCACAGCATCGTATGACCATGGCAGTGAAGCGACTGTTCTGCAGAGCTGGATAAGCTCTGTTCCCAGACAGGGAAAGATCAACACTACAGTCATAATGCTAATACTCAGCCTAGATTTGGTCTACATTATTAAATCAAAAAAAGTTAAATTGCTAAAAAAAATAAGGTGTTGTGGAGTTTACTACAGGTAGGCTTTACTGTATATTGATGAGCACACTGAGGTATAGATGAAGAGGCTGTCAGAGAAAGGGAAGGATAGAGAATGTAAAGTATGCACTTCTTGCACACAGGTCATCTGAAGTTTTTGTATCCAAATCTATCATTGCATCTTTTAAATTTCAACAGTTAATATATTATTTCAAACATATATTTACAATCTTAAAACGAATGTTTCAGTAAACTTGGAAACTAAATTGTGATAAACTCTGGATATTGGACAGCACTTTTCAAATACTTAGTAAATCTACAGTACTGTGCTTTTAGCACAATAACAACATTACGTGGGAATTTAATTTCTTACAGAAACTTCTAAATTACAGAAATTTCTAAATAGTGTTCATGCAAGGAAAGCAAATTCGCTGTGCTCCGAAAGGCTAGTTATTTCATACATCACAAAGGAGTCGGTCAAATGTTTATAAGTGCCAAAACAGGGATAAACCCACGCTGGGTTTTCTGAAATAAAAGGCCTGATACCCTGAACACAGAATCACTCTGTAATCCACAGTGGAGGATTTGTTCATTTCAGGACTGCTTGTCTCCCTCTTTCTTCAGACGGCTGTCAAATAGACAACAGAACAAAATGTTGTCACTTAAGCATCCAAGTAAACAGGTAATAAAAAATAAAAAAAATGTTCAGTGTACTGTGGGGTGACAAATTTCACAGTAAACACAGCTTAGTTGCTTTATGGGCACTAAACGTGATCCGTGCATGCTACTTTAAAGAAAAAAATGTTTGAAATCTTTCATCTTGCTAAAGGCTTATTTACTAATGCACTCTAGAACAGAACGTTCATGTGGTTCACCTGTAGTAGTCTTCTTGGCTGGGGAGAGGAGCACTATGTAAGTGTGCATGTCCATGTAGCCACTGCTGCTCCAGTGCCAGCCTCTGCAGCTCTGCTGACTGTGCCTGCATCGCCTGCAACTGATGCGCAGCTGACATCGGAGCCAGGGGTCCTGGTAACTCTCTGGGGAATGGTGCTCCTATTAAAGAAAAACACAGAATATCTTACTTCGGTTGCTCTTCCCTCAAATAACAGAGAACTATTTCCTACCGTGGGACTGTAATGTGTATGTAGATGCTGGATGGTCTTGTGAAGTAACAATAAAGCAACAGCAGGTTGACAAACATTATTGCATTACATTAGGGATGTACATTTCAGCCATTTTGGCTCTTTGAATAATAAAAGTCACAACTGATTATTATCAGCAGCAAAAGACTGGCCCAGACAGAATCTATAGACACATTTTAAACTGATTTGGAGGGGGATATTCAATGTTTGTATTAATATTAAATTATATACAGTATAGTATACAGTTAAAAATTTTGGGGTCTGTTTTTTTTTTTAAGTATTTATTACTTTTAAATTAAATTAAATGAATCAAAGTGACAGTAAAACAATTATAACATTACAAAATATTTACATTTCAAATAAATGCTGTTCTTTTGAAGTTTCTATTCATCAAAGAATCCTGGAAAAAATGTATCACAGTTAACACAAAAATATTAAGATGCACAAGTGTTTTCAACATTGATAATAAATGTTTCTTGAGCACCATATAAGCATATTGGGATGACTTCTGAAGAATAATGTGACTCTGAAGACTGCAGAAATGGCTGCTGAAAATTCAGCTTTGCAATCACAGAAATAAATATAATTTTAAAATACATTAGAATAGAAAAGTTATTTAAAATAAAATAAATCTTTGATCAAATAAATGCTTGTTGATCTTAAGAGACTTTCAAAAACATCTCACTGACTAAAATATAAATATAATAAATACATTAAATCTTAATCTTAAATATTAATTCCACAGAATGGATTTAAACATGGTTAAATGTGTTAAAAGGAGCTGAGAGTACTTCATTCTTATTGGCTGCTGAAAGCTTAATATTTAATAAAGAAGCATGCAAGTAATGGAGATATGGCTAATCAAAGGGGAGGGTGTTTCAATTCTGCTCAGCAGTGGACATGGGTTACGTTTGGGCCTGGCTATATAAGTTGGAAATGTTAATCATTCAGAATTAAAGGCCCGTTCACACCAAGGACGATAACTATAAAGATAACGTTAAAGATATAGTTTTAAAAATCGTTCTCAATATTAAAGAATAGCAGAGTCCACACCACAACTATAACGATAAAGACAAAGAGAATGATATCATTGGAATCACTTTCAAAATGTTTTTTCTCAAGCTGAAGAACGATAAAATATTGACAGCCAATCAGAATCCATCCTGCTGTAACGAGTTCAAGAATTTAAAGCGGCAGACGAGCGTGTGCTTAGAATAAACAGACGATATCGTTCGCTGGTGCAGACGCTAATATCGTTATCTTTATAGTTATCTTTTTATGCCGCTTTTCCACTGCATGGTACGGCACAGTATGGCTTGGTACAGTTCACTTTTGGGGGGTTTTACACTGGGTACAGTACCTGGTACTTTTTTTAGTACCATCTGGGATGAGGTTCCAAGTGAACCATGATGTTACCAAAACATGACGTGTAAACTCTGCTGATCACGGATTGGTCGGAGAGAATCGTCACTACCTGCGTCACTGAACTTGCTACACAAACACAACAGACCCGCTAGATTTAAATCATCACAGCCAGCAAAGTATCGAACGCAACTGTTTTGAACGCGCACAGCTTTTTTAACAACCAAAAATGGCTGTTTCGTGGTCTGTTGAGGAAGTACAGACGTTCCTCTCGCTGATAGAAGAGGAGCGGATCCAGCAAGAACTTGATGGGGCGGAATGAAAAAGTTTTTCAGGAGTCGCGGCAGTAGAGGCGGCGCAACTATAACATGTGAATAATCCCGCCCACTCTAAAGCGATACTACACTGCAGTGGAAATGCAAACCGAGCCGAGCCGTGCCGTACTGAGTCGTGCCGAGCCGAGTCGTACCACGCAGTGGAAAAGCGCCAATAGTTATCGCTCTTGGTGTGAACGGGGCTTAACTCTGAACTTTCTTTTATCCTAAAAGTGAAACAGGGAGTCTATTTGGTGACTCACCAAACAGAGGGTGGCGGAGCATTTCATGCTCATGGGGTAACTCACTGAGTAGGGGGTTGGAGATGGCACCAGGTGAGTAGGGGAATCGTGCCAGAGGGGGGCCAGCAGCCAATGGGTCCACCAGAGGATGAGGCCCTTGGCCTGAAAGACAAATACATTGACATTTCCATTTACTTTCTTGAAAAAAATGTGATCTAGATAAGTTCTCACCTTGGTTGAGAGGGTCCTGTTGGTGCAGATGAAGATGGGAGTGTATATGTGAGTGTTGGTGGTGGTGTGGTGTAGCATTGAGCATCTGTAGCCGTGCAACAGGGTCACCAGCAGCAACAGAGGCCATCCTTTCAGCATGGAGCCGTTCAGCTGTCAAACGCTCAGCATAGCTGATTTCTGGCCGAGGGGGTGCCGCTACGCTGCGGTCCATGGCTGGGTGGAACTGGGCGAAGGGGTGAGGCCCAGCCACATGAGACAGAGGCAGGGCACCATGGCGGGCAAAATGCTCCATGGGATTTGCCGACGGATGAAGTGGGTTCTCCAGCTCTGGCGGTTTCACCTCAAATCCGGGCTTCATTCTTTCTCGGATCTCTCTCTCTCGAAGCTCACGAAGCTCTCGCTCTCGAAGGGCTGGGTCTACTGCATAGAGCCCTGGCATGTGATAAGCCAGCAGGTGCTCACCTGGCCCAAGCTGCATGAAGAAAGGATGGTTGCGGTTGGTGGGAGACATGACGTGGGGGCGGGCGTACTCGCTGAGTGTGCGGAGGGCTGGAGTGTCAGGGCCGAGATATGGTGGAACTGCAGCCACAGTGGTGGGGGGAGGATGTTCGAATGACGGACGGCCCGGTTGCACATGGGCAGCAAGCAGGTGTTCCCCTATTCGGCCATCGTGGGATGAGCATGACGCACGCTATGTGAAGAAAAAAAATGTTTTATGAAAAAACAAAAAAGGTTTTATATTATAACATTCTTTAAAGAGAGATTCTTTATCAAAATAAGTAAAAAGTGATTTTAAAGAGAAAGCAGATCTGTGACTGGCAAACTATATTAAATACATTTTTGTAAAAGGATAAATCTCATAAAAGCATGTTGGGGACATATTTCACCACAAATCTTTTTTGCAAAGATTTTTTTAAAATTAATTTTTCTTAATATTATATTCATTCATTTATTTATATTTAAATTCAAAATAAATGCATAAATTAATAAAAAAGCATTAACTTAAAGATAGTAAAACAAATACTATAATGATGTATAAATACTTTAGTTTTTTTTTTTCTTTTTTTGCATTACAGTATTGGCATGACATTTTCCACATTACAGTAAGAAGAATTTGAGGGGAAACTGCCATAACAATGTAAAAAAAATAAACTAGCTAGAAATAGTTTAAGTAAACCATAGTTTACTTTTTTTAAGGGTGAAATATGTTAAATTCAAAAGTAAACACCACATATACTTACAGAGGCTTTATCAGAGTCTCTCTCCCTTTCTCGCTCCCGCTCTCTTTCTCTCTCCCTCTCCCGCTCTCTTTCTCTGTCCCGTCCCTGTCGAGTGCTCAGCTCTGCTTCTCTTCTGGATCTTTCAGCAGCTTCCTCTCGTTTTTTGGCCAATTTTGAGGAGGCCAATGGGGTGAAGTACAGGTCTGTGCGAGAGCAGGAGTTGTAACCTCGGTTGAGGTGTTTGATGAATCTGCAATTGACAAAACAGAATTTACTATGTATGCTGAATATGTGCTATGTATGCACAGTTATTAAAATAAATGTTGCATTTTAGTCAATGGCATTTTGAAATGTTTTCAAAATGAAATTAAATTTCCTTGATAAAAAATAAGTAAATTTAAGATACATTTTATCAAAATCTTTTTGGAATATAAAAAAAATATTTTAGACTACTACATTGGGAAAACTTATATATATATATATACACAGTGGTGTTAAAATTCTTCCTGATTTCTTATTTTTTTGCATGTTTGTCACACTTTAATTCCAGACTGATAGATCTCAATTACTTTCTTTCTCATTTGTTTCTGAATTTCTTTGGATCTCGGCATGATGTCTAGCTTTTGAGGATCTTTTGGTCTTCTTCACTTTGTCAGGCAGGTCCTATTTAAGAGATTTCTTGTTTGCGAACAGGTGTGGCAGTAATCAGGTCTGGGTGTGGCTAGAGAAATTGAACTCAGGTGTGATAAACCACGATTTTAACAGGGGGGCAAACACTTCTTCACACAGGGCCATGTAGTTTTGGATTTTGTTTTCCCTTAATAATAAAAACCTTCATTTAAAAACTGCATGTTGTGTTTACTTGTGTTATCTTTGACTAATATTTAAATTTGTTTTGATGATCTGAAACATTAAAGTGTGACAAACATGCAAAAAAATAAGAAATCAGGAAGGGGGCCAACACTTTTTCACACCACTGTATATCTGTATATTTTTTTTTATTTAATAAATATTTAAAATTTCAAATATTGACAAATGTGATCGCCATACCTTGCTGACTGACTTGCATGACTGGGTATGTCAACCACTGTTGGTACTGGAGAGGGACTCCTGCGAGGCGGAGGTGGGCTATCGCACTCTTCCTCCTCATCAATTGGTTCCTCTTTGATATGAGCCTGTCCAACAGGAGTGCTTGCTGAGGAGGACGTGGAGGGCTGATGGGCAGGGACGGGACTAGTGTAAAGAGGGAATGAAGCAGTGGACTCAGGACCAGGACGATTTTGTGGGAGCGATGGTTGAGAACTCGCTGCAGCTGGAGGGGCACCACTGGTATGACCTTTGACCGGCTGGCTCTGTGACTGAGTCAGAACGGAAGGTTGAGCAGGGTGATTTTGTGGAATTATATGCAATGGAGGAGGCTGGGAACAAGGCAAGTGCTGCGAGGGCAAGGAAGCAAGCGGTTTTAGAGCAGGAGGTGGAGGTAAATTGGGGTGGATTTGCAGGAAATGGGGTGGAGGTGCAGAAAGGTGAGGGGGCTGCTTGTGAGAAGGTGGAATTGGAGTGGTCGGAGGGGGCTTGATTTGGGATGCTGCTGTAGGGGGAAGAGGAGGAAGAGGGCTCTCTCTTTGAAGGTGGAGCGGTCTGGAAGCAAACCCTGATGGCTGATTCACGCTAGATGAAGGATTCTGCAGCTGACCTGAATTGTGCTGATAATGGAGCGGCACAGGAAATGACTGCCCCTGCCCTGGACACTGCACCTGCTGAGTCAAGGAGTTTGAATAAGAGGTGGGGGCTTCGGGTCCCCTAGGACCGCTTCTGAAAGTGGTTGGAGATGGAACCTCCTGGGAAACCTCTACGGATGGTGCCTTCGAGGTGGCGGTAGAAGCTCCAGGTGAAGGTGCAGATGAGGATGCAAGCAAAGAGGGCTGAGGAGATGGTGGTGTTTCAGAGGGGGCATGTGCTGTGGGTGTCGCAGCAGGCTGCTGGGGTTGGGTTTGTGGGGTTGGGCCTGGTGCAGGGGGTGGTGCTGGGGAGTCCGAGTCACTTTCGTTGGCCTGCAAGGGACTGGCCAGGCTGGGGGAAGAGCTGCGGTTGTCCTGATCAATGTCTTTAGTGTCGCTGCTGCCATCATCATTGGCACTGCGGCTATCTGAGCTCTCGCCTTCACCCTCACCTTCTGATGGAGAATCAGGACCCTCCTGGGTTAGAGAAACACCACTTAAAAACTAGACGTCATGGCAGAGCTATATGGTATAGACATTATTATTATCTACGGCCAATAAATGGCCAATATTACAATTCTGTATTATTTAGTAAAAAAAACTAAAAACTACACTAGATTACAAATAAACTACACTACACAAGTGTATGTAGAAGTGAATTTAAACATCACAACATTATAATGTACAGTATGCATTCATAATTCATTATAATATATTATATTATATACAGTGGGTACGGAAAGTATTCAGACCCCCTTCAATT